TGGATGTAATGAAAAGAACTGTCTTTAGCAAGTTGAGTAAAAACCACATATGCCTTGAGTACTGTTGGTGATCCTAATAGTAGTAGAGATTCTGTCTTCTAACAAACCAATGTTCATCATACGTTGATAAAATGCCATATTGCAACTGGTTCTCTGACATATAATGATATATTTGTTGTATTACATCCTTTGCTCTGAAATTCGTATCATAAACATTTAGTCGTGATTGTCCAGGTTTAAATCGTTTAGAATATGTACCCTATTATTAAGATCAGAGTGTTTTCTAAATAATAGCATGCATGTGTAACCTGGATTAGTGTTTTGATTCGGGTGGGTATCACCCGGGTTGAATCATTACAACCCGGGTGGGTCAACCCCACGGGTGACCCGTTGGTTGCCCGTTGGTTGACCAACAGAATAAAAAATCACTAAATGCACACACCGCATATATTATCTGGCTTCAAATTTAAATGTCCATGTCTTTTTGAGAACTTTAAAACTGACGTCTAAGTTTTGGCATTTTTCGAACTAATAAGCTCTAAAATTTTTTTATTTAAAAACGGTTATTTTTATAATATTTATATTACCAGATGTTCCAAAATTAATGAAAACAACTGTAATCTTATAGTTGAGTGGCGCGATTAATTTCCTGCATAATTTTTCGTGGTTCCAATCCCTAGTGATTTTTAATCCTACATAATTTATGGACCCGCATAATTCGTTTAAGATTTGCAGTACGCATAATTTTGTAATGACCAGATCGTAATTCTGAACACGGGTAGTTTTTTACAGCTATTATCGTTATTTCTGGGACACCTGAAGAATTTTCAGATGACCGAAATATCTACTGTTTTATCGCTGTCTTCGGACTGAAGGTCTGGAGACAGCGATATAGTTTCCGAGAAGTTAGGTAATTTATCGAATGACATGACCTGTCAGGTGACCCGTTGGGTGATGTTTTGAAGCTGACCGATTTTCACTCAGGTGACACATCGGGTGACCCGGTGAAGATTTTTTAGAGGTTCAATTCACTAATCTGGATAGCCATCACCAACAACTTGAGTACTCATAATTTGAAATAAGTTCGTTCTATAAGAATATTTACATTTATGGCTTGACGAACGATTGACGAACGATTGACGAACGATTTTCTCATTTGGTATCTTAAATTTTCCAATGAATTGTGGTACTTCGAATCTTGGTTTTTTATTATCAAAATAATGTGCTTTCACCATATCGAAGAAACCTTTTCATAATAATACCTTTTCGGTAATTTATCACCTACTTTCGTAGTATTTTTTGAGAAAGTTCCATGAGGAGAATAGGTAATTCGAGGTGGAATATAAGACATCGCATCTTCTAAAGTAATGAGTTCTGGAAAATAAGTGTATGCATAATTGACTTAGTATTGCAATATCAACTGCTCTAAGAAATCTGTTAAATAATACGCAAGAGGTATAAAATTCAACTATC